TGGTGCCTTTTCTCGTGCTTTTTTGGTGCCTTTTCTCGTGCTTTTTTCGTGCTTTTTTGGTGCCTTTTCTCGTGCTTTTTTGGTGCTTTTCCCGTGCTTTTTCTCGTGCCTTTTCTCGTGCTTTTTTCGTGCTTTTTGGGTGCCTTTTCTCGTGCTTTTTTGGTGCCTATTCTCGTGTTTTTTTCGTGCTTTTTTGGTGCCTTTTCTCGTGCTTTTTTGTGCCTTTTCTCGTGCTTTTTCTCGTGCTTTTTTGGTGCCTTTTCTCGTGCTTTTTTGGTGCCTTTTCTCGTGCTTTCCCGTGCCTTTGTTCAAATACAAGCTTGGGAAGCCCGATCCTGATCTGCTTTTTCTCGTGCTTTTTTGGTGCTTTTCCCGTGTTTTTTTCGTGCTTTTTTGGTGCCCTTTCTCGTGCTTTTTTGGTGCCTTTTCTCGTGCTTTTTTGGTGCCTTTTCTCGTGCTTTTTTGGTGCTTTTCCCGTGCTTTTTCTCGTGCTTTTCCCGTGCTTTTTCTCGTGCTTTTTTCGTGCTTTTTTGGTGCCTTTTCTCGTGCTTTTTTGGTGCCTTTTCTCGTGCTTTTTTGGTGCCTTTTCTCGTGCCTTTTCTCGTGCTTTTTCTCGTGCTTTTTGGCGCCGGAAAAGCACAACTCCGGAGCCTGGAGGAGCACCAGAAAAGCACAACTCCGGAGCCAAAATTTGACCGGCCAGCCCCGGACATTTACTCTAGTTGGCCCCAGCCGCCAGCCCCAGGCGCCAGAGCAAGCCAGCCCCGGCCCAGCCAGCCCCAGCCCAGCCAGTGCCAGGCCCAGCCGTAGGGGGACATTTACTTTGCTAGTGGACCTCCCCAGAGCAAGCCAGCCCAGCCCAGCCAGCCCCAGGCCCAGCCCTAGCCGGACATTTACTTTGCTAGCGGACCTCCCCAGAGCAAGCCAGCCCCAACCCAGGTTCAAGAAAGGCTTGGAGAAGACCAGGGCGCGCAGCCTTGCAAGGCTTTGTTGGCTTGGGCACAAGAGTGTGCCGTGTAGAGCACCAAAGCAGTGGACCAGTGGCAAAGGTATGAAGGAGAAAAAGGTGCTGCCAACATATAATGGGACTATTCAGTTTAGGTAGATGACTTTTCAAATTTAGAAACCCGCTTTTGGGGTCCAATTTTCTCGTGCGCTTGGTGGTGCCCATCTTTGTGCTCACTGTTAGTGGGCCGGGGCAGTGTCCAAGATATAAATATATAAGGCTTGCCCACTTGCCTATGCACACTTGAGGGACGTCATGCCCGGAGCCTTCGACCGGTGAGTCGGGGGTCATCCGGGGAAGGAGAACACGGAGGAGAATGGAACCGCGTATGCACCGCAAGCCTTCCGTGGTGATGAACCCGCTATCCACGAAGCAAGCCTTCTGTAAAGCCCTCAAGAACCCCTGCCCCCTGCTGTCCCAAATAGGGAGGTCAATTAAGGACCTCATTTTACTCGATTTGGCCCGGTTAACTTAACTTAAGGACGTCCTGGCTTCGTTCGGTCTTGGGACTTTCAGTCTTTAGAACCCACTTCCGGGACTCCGTCGTCGTTCACTCCCTCCGTCCTCGTGCTCTCCATCCACCCCCGACCTTTCTAGGTCCGGACGGTGTGGACTCCGGGCATTAGGCCAGGTCCCCCACCTCCAAAAGAGGTTGAACTCACAGCCCGTCTTGTCGCCCATCCGTACCACAGACCAAGGGGTCCTGGTCTCTCAACCTCTCTTGGCTCCCCCTTTTTCAGGTCCCCCACCTGGATTCAAATACGCCGCCAGGTTCATCGGCTCTCCAATGGCCAGGACGGACGGATCCAAACGGTCTTCTCCGGTCCAGTTCTGCGCGGCCGCCAGCATCCTGGACCACCGAAATGAGCCAACAAGATCTGAAGTGTCGTGGATTTTCTGGGATTTGCTCATGTGATCAAGGAATCTGAGAAAAAAACAACACATACACCCCAGAAGGGTATTGACGCACATTCACCTTAAGCAAAACCAGGTTTTGGGGGGTTGCTGAACCGTGGGTCGTGTGTCCAAGATCGGTTCACCTGCTAGATGACTGACTTTGGAGTGTAGACCTGCCCGTGGCCGTTCACATTTCCCTGAGGCCGTGGAGCCGTTTCCCTTGAACTGTAGAGTTGAACCAACCTGTCCACCTGTTGATCTTCGGTCCCCAATCCCCAAAAAGGGCTAAAGGATGGGTTGCAGGCGATCCACTCTTCCAGTCACTGACCCACAGACCAAAACCCCAAAGAGACAAACCTGAGAAACTGCAAAACGGACGCCAGCGTTTTTTTGTCAACGAACACAGATGTTGGTGAAACAAGGTTCGGGTGTACCCAGGGTAATTAGCTACAATTCAGTTGCCAAGTACAGCACTTCAAGCAACCGAAGACAATACTGTAGCATTTCTTAAAGTCACAAAAACACCTCCAAAACCTTGCTTCCGTGCACCCCTACACACCACCTACTTTCGAGTGTGCTTTCTCAGGCCACCCCCCCGAAACCCCCTTGTATAGATACCCAGGGTAGCTACAATTCAGTTACCAGGTATAGTACTTCAAGTTCCCTTTCCGTCAACCGCTCGATAACCTTCACACACGCACAGCAATCCACAGCTTTGAAGTTTCATTCGTGCTTTGAACTTATATATGTGTGTAAGAGGTATAGCAACATAACATTTATGCGGACCCAGGGTAGCTACAATTTTGTTCCCAGGCGCGGACCCAGGGTAGGAAAATTGATGCGCGATACCTGGCAACTGAATTGTAGCTACCCTGGGTATCTATACCTGGCAAGGCGCCAGTTACACCTTACCATTCAGATGATGCAAATGATTCACATTGCATTTCTTGCATCACCACCCCCTCGAAATCACAAAAACTCACCTCCAACACAACCTCAAAAACCATACTTCCCCACACCCCTCTCCACCCCCCATTTTCGAGTTTACGTAGTGCTTTCTCGGACCCCCTACTTCTCACTTCGTTTCCCAAACACAACTCAGCTGGCGCCTTCTACGAAGGCTGGCTTTCGTAATGTCTCTGATTCCAGATTCTAGACTGGAATCTCAAATAAAGCCTCAATCAGGTTCACTTTGGCTGGTATCAAGTGGAGGACTCTGTCAGGAAGCTGGGTCAACAGGTTTTGTCATGGAGTGCCGTCGACAAACTCACGGCGCCGTCTTGGAGATTGGGAAAAGTTCGACAGAAAACCAATTCGACTTGCTGATTTCGGACGCCCGAAAACTACAAAATTACATGTATTTTCATATATTCACCATACCAGTGGATTCACCGGAAAAAACCACCTCACCTCAAGCCAAACCAAGGATCTGATCAAATTTAAAAGGTAATGGTGAGTCAAGGGATTGCACCACTTGACCCAGCCCTCGTGCCTTGCTTGGAAGGCTGCGAGTTGGGGGTGGTGGTCCCAGTGCAAAGCTTTGCTCAATGACCTGCGGCTCGGCTTCCAGCCCAAGAACGGCAGAGCTGGAGACGATCTCCAAGGCCATGCATGGAAGTGTCAGTCCCAGTTTGCCGTTAGCCATACCAATACAGAGAGGTTGAGAAACCAGGACTAGGACCCTGGTCAGTGGTACATAGGGGATGGGCGACAAGACGGGCAGTGAAAAACCTCTCTTGGTACACGCAGAAATCAAGATTTCCCGGAGAAGTCGTTACAAATGATGACGCTCTGCACTTCTTCAAACCGATCGGTTTGGATTTGCAACCCTTGGACACTGGAAAAAACATTGATCAACGGAAAGGGATTCATCCACAGTAGGGGAAAACTAATCATCACTCGAAATGACCTACACCCCAAACGTCGTACCCAACTACTTCACATGTCCCGTTGAAAGTGTGCTCTCGCTCACAAAGGACAACAACAAGGTACAAACAACAACTGCAGCCCCGTCAACACAACTCCGACTCTTCTTACTTTGCCTCGAATTACCCGCTCCTAGAAACAGCAACTGCAGCCCGGCGGTTCTTTTTTGATCCTCCTTCCAAACCAACAAGCCAGTACTGGTACTAGTTACTAGAAGCACTATAGTATTAGTACTGGTACTAGTGCTACTAGTCGCCGTCGCCAACGTAGTAGTTGTAGTATAGTAGCAGTACGTCCCCTTGAAGTTTCAGAGTTACAACTTAGTTACAACATGTGACAACTATGTTGGGCGGCTGTTCTTGTTTCCACCACCACCACCACCACCACCAACAACAACAACAACAACATCAACGGCATTCCTTTTCCCTAAACAAATCCCATGCACAATACACGGCCTTTTATCCGATGTCACAAACAGCTATGGGGATACCCGCACCCAACCACTGCAAATGGCGCGCAAACTGCACGCACCTCCTGATGGTGCCTTGTGGCGCTCCCGCAGCCAAGGCAGGAAGGTGTGGCAGGCCGCCGGCCAGCTCTAGCCTAAGCTGAGTGAGAAGTCCTGCATTGGACCTCCTGGAACCTGGAATCTGGAACGGACTTCGTCCGCGCCCAAAACGTACGATGACCCAAAACAAAAAAAACAGGGACAATGTTGTGTACCCATTTGCTGAGGAATTTGGACGGATCGACTTCAGGAATTTGGACAATGGCACTATACATGTCGCATGGTGCGCACAGATTTCTTCACTGCCTTTCCTGCTTCAGCCGATCAGCTGAATACAGGAATCCGTGGACGACCCAAGCGATGGGTCTGTTTCCACGAGGGAAATCACGGGACGGATCGGGTGAGCCCCGGGCATGGGTGAGCCAGAATTGGCTCGGTGCTGTGGGCCCTGGAAAAAGGCTCTTGATACTCCATGGGCACTCCCTGAAATAAAGTGGATTCACTTAAAGAAGCAGGAAAAGCAAACAGCAAACACTTATTTCCCATGCCAGGGGATTAAACACCCTTAAGCAACATCATGCACTCCCTGAAATAATCATTGAAGCGAAACATACGCCCCTGGAAGACCATTCTGTTCTACAAACAGTCCATGTGAATCACTCGGAGAGTAATCCATCTCATGATTACATTATGTTTTTTCAGTCATGCACATGGAAGTGGCGTGAAAACCACCTGTTTGTAGAGAAAGATGCTCTTTTGGAGGCACGTATGTTCCAGCTCCATGCAATACTTCAAGTATGTTCAAGTGGTATGAATGTTGAAGATCCTAGCTGCCAGGTAGCAGTTCTATGCATGGACTTGGGGGCCTGGGTCGCCCCAATGATCCGCAGGGGGCGCTTCGGGCGTGTTCCCACGACAAGCGGACTGCCTGGAACACTCCTGCGGGTGCATGTGGAAAACACATGCCTGGCATTAAAGAAACACTGTATCAGTGATCAGGAGCCTGGATGTATCGATGTATATATTATACATATTATACTATATTAATTGCATATATTATGTAATGGTAGTGCTCATTGATAGAAGACGCAATGAAGGCAATGTCTCACTCTTGGCTGAATTCGACCCAATCTAATTTGACACCCAAATGGGTATTGGAATAGGGAGAGCCCCAGTTGGACCTCTGAGAAAATCACACAAACAAACTAAATCCATTGGTTGGGAGGTCCCTCTTTTCCTTTCCTTTCGTGTTTACTGAGCTCTAGTGAGACTCTTGGAATGGTACAGCATGGGAGGTCCCCCCTTAAAATACAAACCCAAATGTAACCCTAGCTTGAGAATAAACCAATGAGTCAATGTCCAAGACCCTTGTACTTTGCTGTTTGCACTTTGCACCGTGCAGAAAACCGCCTGAAACAGGATCAAACGTATTCGATGCCATCCACTTCCACCCTTCCACCATGTCTTGTTGGACTAAAAGGGTACGTGAATTCCATTTGAAACACTCTTTTGAAAGTTAAGCTATTTATTGTTTGGAATGTGGCCTTCCAAGGATCGTTCAAGCGTTGCAAGCTTTAGATGACTGCTGTCCAGGAAGCCGGGAAACAAACCTGTTCCCGTCAGGGGATTCACCCGATTCACTCAAGAACCGGGAGAATCAAACATCATCTGATCCGCTGATCAGCCAGAAACTCAGCAAGAAACCCTGTGGGGGACCTTCGACTCACATCTACAGCAAGAGTTGCTGTTTTTCATCTATGTTTTGAGCAACTTTGGCAACACTTCCGAGACTAGGAGACCAGAAAACAGTCTTAGTTCCGCGATTCCCGCCGTCCAGCGGTCCGGGCGTGCTCATCCCAGCGGCAACGCGTCGCATTCATGGGGCGATGCGAAGCGCTTCCAGAGGACCACTGGATCCGGCGGCGGCCGGTAGATCTGGCACATGCCGGCCGGTGGGGCCGCCACTGGTCATGGGTTTGTGCGGTGAACATGTGTGGTGCGATTGGTGCGCCCTTGAATATGTTTCAGGTCATGTTTGTGAACGATGGACGCACTGAAGCTCAACCCCCATCATGGCTTGGACACCAAGATGTAGTTCATACTAAACTTACTAAACGCAAGAGGTTGAAGTGCACAGTGAGTGTCCTTTTGCAGCAGAGAACCACATGCCATGAAATAGATAGAAATAGTCAATGCCACGTACCACTCCCCAACAATGAGTTCGATGTTGGAAGGTCCCTTCAAGTTTACCGTTTACCAAGATCAAATCCATCAAACTTCACGCGTGGCATCTGGAACGAAGTGTTCGTCTTCTCTCACCTGTCGAGACTGACGCTGAATATATTGGGAAAGCAAACATGGTGGGACCCTGGGTTCTCACAACGTGGAAGGACGGACATATCAATTCTGTGCTTTGTTTCAGTAGCGTCACTCACTTGAATATGAGAGAAAACAGCAGGTTGAGTGATGTGGTCTACGTCGCATCCGCTTGTCAAGAATCCGTGCAATGGTTGTTTTCTCCAGACTCGTTGTCGTTTGAGACCTTGTTTCCATAATATCCCGCTCCAGCTGCAGAAAACAAATTGAAAGGAACATCAGCTCTTCGCTCTGATGCCAAAATTTAAATTTGACTCTCTCCAGCAGTCTAATGAATAGCTTGACTCAACATTCCATTTGCAATAATTTAAATTGGCGGAGAGAAGCGCGCATGATCTGCATGCTCCAAAAGGTCGCCAAAAGTTCATCCAATTTCTTGTCAATCAGTGAAAAGAAAATCGATTTCTTCCTGCGGGTGAGATCATCTGCTGTGGTGATACCATCGCAGCCACTTGCGGTAGGCGTACTCGTTCACCCTTGACAGTGGCAGGCAAAACCCTGCGCTTGTCTTCACAGTACATGAATACTATGCGGAGGCGTCATTGAAAAACAATGACAATGAGTCTTTGTAAGCACACAGACTCGATTTTCTTCTTTGACGCCGATGGCTCGCTCATTCAAGAAGTATTGTTCAGCCTGGAAGATATGGTCAGCATGCACTTCGTGCACTGAGCTTTTGCGCCGGCCGCTCGAGCTGCGGAGCCTTCCGAAACAGGTAGCGCTGTTTAGGCCCACCCAAAACCCATCATCTCCTCATGTCTTTTACACTTGGTCAAATTGATTTTTGTTGCGACAACCAAGTATAAAGCCACGATGAACTCTCATCATCGCCACACTAGAACCACGATCGCATCATCCCAGCACTAACCGCGTTCCCAATGACTGATATGTTTCATTATGTTTCGATGTTGGATCTTCACAAGTGGAATCTGAAACGGTTGGAATTGTGAAGAGCGCCCAGCCAGGGCAAACGGCCATGTCAAACAATGCCATCCTTGGCGATACACCGGCCAATTCGCATTTGTGACCTCCATACAACTAAACGAAGCACCTGTTTGTGAAGTCTTCACCATTCACAAAAGAGATAGTGAAACTACAGGGCTGGTTTGTGAAGAATCGGGCCATCATAATTATTCACGATGCGACGCCTAAAGATACGATCAGGCAGAAAACACTTGGGTGGGGGTTTGTGGCAGCCTTGTTCCCGGACAGCAAAGGCAACACCTCTTCATCACTCATCTCCCGTTTGGCCAGCCAGCGTGCAAGATGGCACGACCTCATGTAGCATGAAGCCAATCACCAATAAGAGGATCCGAGCAACCTTTGTCTCTGGGCCACAAATTTCCCATATGATCTCCCCAGCACGGGTGATGCTATTAAAGCTGTGCAGAAAGATCCCCAAAACGCTCACGCCCATGCCTCGCAAGGACATAGCCAAGAATCGCCACAGCCAGCACCGAACGGTGGTGTCCGGAATTGCAATGGATCAAGACCGGCCCCTGGTGGCGGGACACTTCTGTGATGAGGTGTAGAACCTTGGTTGGATGAAGCACAAGGTTGGCCACACTGCCATCATCATTTGACGGCATTGGCCAAAGTCAGATAAACTCCCAGATACTCCGCGAACGGGAATGTTCAAAGTAGTCACCCACCCAGGGACGTGACGCAGCAGAATCGTCTCCGCCAGGAGGATGACCAGGAAACATGCCTCGCGGTTGGTGCGCGCGTCTTGCGGCGCAAGCTCCCCACCGCACCCTGGAAGAACTCGAAGGCCAAGTGCAGAATAGTCCAAAAATTGAACTCCCTCTTGTCCAGTCTTCGGATCATAGTAGAGCTCCTTCTGTAAAGCCACAGCGGCCACTTCTTTCATCCCTTGATACCGTTTAGCGCTCGTCTCTCCGTCTATCTCCTTGCTCACATGGTTTTTTCCGCAATAAAAGGGGTGGCATGGACCTTGCAATGTTCGCAGTGCCTGGTTCCTCTGCCGGAAGGTGTCAGAAGCGCTTCTTCCAGGATGCAACAATTAAAGAACACATGGTGTTCAAAACGCTGTTCCAAGGGCTTGCATCAGTTGAGAAGGCTAGATGAGATTCAAGGGTAGCTTGGATGGAGAGGTTCAGTCGTGAGTCATTTACTTGAGGGGTTCCCGCGAATCATAGGAGCTGGCAAAGCACTTGTTGTATGCAGGTGGACCATATGGGAACCGACCAGCCAACAAATTGTTTTCATCTCCCGGCAGAGATGTCAAAACGCAAACAGAACTCATTCCACGGGCCGGCGAAAAGAGGGGACACCAGCAGGTGACAACAAGTCAGATCCCGATTCATGTGGCATTTCACCCAAGACACGGCAAACACAGGAAGAGTTGTAAACATATACCGAATTTATGACCCTAATATAGGTATATATACCGTGCGCTTGCTGGCCCACCATTGATTTAATCGCCTCAGTCCCGAAGAACCATATTGTTTTAGCAAGGGCATTTACACTGCAAGGCCAGGTCAACAATTGTTTAAAAATGTTTAAACGGCCTTGGAAGGCTAGAGGGTATATAACGATTCAAGTCCCAACAACTTGTTGGCGACTATATAACTCTGTGAAACTCCTCTTCGACACCCTTGCCTCGACGGTGGACTTCTCCGTCTTGTCTGGCACAGGATTCGAGTCAGTCATGCGATTGTGGGTTAAAACCTAAAGCCTAAAGCCCCAAACCCTGGTAGGTTGACCATGTCTGGTAGTCTCTTCTGTTCATGTTTGGTCGTCATGGTCAATCAAGGTCCCCTGGTTTGACCCCCACTCATGCGCTTGTGGGCTTAAAATCAGGACCCAGCAACGATCACCTTTTCAGAAGGAATGAAATAGACCAGTCTACCCTGTACTTCCCAGCAGGTTGCCCTATACCACCCTCTTTCTGCCGTCGGTACCTCGTTGATCGTGTGATCCTCAACCAGAAGTTCTGGATGGCAGCGTTCCCCGCCGGACCTTAACGGCTGCCAGTGTTCCCCACCGGACCTGAACCGCAAGTGCAGGATGGCAGCGTTCCCCGCCGGACCTCTACCGCCAGCTCCCGAGCGCACTGGGCGCTGCCGGACCTCAACCAACACACAAACACAATTACAACCCCAAACACCATCACACATGCAATCACAAACACAACCACAACACACAAACACAAAAACATACCCACAGCACACAACCACAACACTTAGATAGTTGCAAGAGCTAAATCAGTTGGGAATATGCAGGTTAGCACTTTAGGTGACTAATGGTGACTACGTAGCACTTGACTTGAGGCAACGGCAAGACTGCTAGGTCAGAGAAGAACATCACGCGTTAGCACAGAACGGCTTCTATCTGCGTTAAGAAATATTCAACCAAGAAAGTAGACTCTATTTTTTGGAAAATAGTTTATTTCTAGACTCTCTTTTTGTCAAAAAACATATTTTCTTTTAAATACGTATTAAGTTCAAATTTGAAGGACCCACAAAGACAAAGAAAGGGGGAGAGAGAGAGAGAGATCGCGCGCTGCTCTTGTTGGTCTGCAAAAGTGATATGGTCACTGATGGTCATCGGAAGTTATTGGAGAACATGGAGTGGGTGCATGAAGAGGAGTTTGTAATTAGGTACCACTACGGCCGCAATTAGGTACTATTGGACGCACCGAATTACGACCATAATGGTACCTAATTTAAAACGAGCCTTCATTATCCTGTTGACCCTGTATGTATCTCCCTTACAGACCCCACATGGAATGACGCGGCACAATTGTTTAATCTTGCGATCAAACATCCGCTTTTAGACAATGACCCTTGGATTTCCAGGGTGCAGGTGTAAAATGACAAACTTGACATCATCTATGACCCCTCTCCATGATACGTACGTAGAGCAAAAGCTTCAGTTTGCTTAAATCTGTTTCAAAAACAACTGTCCCGAACCTATCCTCTCGGGTGATCTGGTCTGAAACCCTTTAGAAGTCCCATCTTTGAGCCTCCCTCCCTCCCTCCCTCCCTCCCTCCCCTCATCTCAGATTCTTGAGCATTGTACCACATCCGTGGTTCCACTTTGCTTCCAAAAAGATTCAGAACTTACATTTTTGGTTCATAAACCTGAAGTTCCGAACAGTCAGCACAAAACGCATGTGGAGCTGCAAAAGTGATATGGTCACTGATGGTCATCGGAAGTTATTGGAGCACATGGAGTGGGTGCATGAAGAGGAGTTTGTAATTAGGTACCACTACGGCCGCAATTAGGTACTATTGGACGCACCGAATTACGACCGTAATGGTACCTATTTAAACGCGAGCCTTCATTATCCGGTAGACCCGTACGCATCTCACTTACAGACCCCACATGGAATGACGCGGCGCAAGGGCCGCATCAAACATCCGCTTTTAGACAATGACCCTTGAATTTCCAGGGTGCAGGTGTAAAATGACAAACTTGACATCATCTATGACCCCTTTCCATGATACGTACGTAGAGCAAAAGCTTCACTTTGCTTAAATCTGTTTCAAAACAGACTGTCCCGAACCTGTCCTCTCGGGTGGTCTGATACTGGTTTGAAACCCTCTAGAAGTCACATCGGAGCCTTCAACTTTGAGCCTCCCTCCCTTCCTCCCTCTGAAGAAGACTTGCAGTCTCTTAAGCCACTTTGAACAGCAACAAGCCACTGTCATGGAAAATGGTGTTTTCATATGTTGTTGGTGTTTTGATTCTTTGGGTGGGAGTGCCCTTTTCATCTTTTGATGGAGTAAATAAGACACCCGCCGAATAAGTAGGATGTGCTGCATAAGCACTTTCTTATTTACTCCATCAACTTTACTTCAAAATGTACCATCGTTTTAGGACATGTAAATAAAGCACTGTGGAGAGTCCCCAATCATCAGCCACTGAGGCATCAGTGTTTTGGGAGGGTCCTTTTCATTTGTTCATGGAATAACTACTGTGGGATGTGTTGGATAAACACTGTCTTATTAAGGTTTGCAGCTTGGGTGGGCCCTGGACACCGGGGCCTACATACTAAGGTGCAAAGGACTGCTGTGGCCAGGACCCACCAACCAAACACCTACCTGACAGGCCATAGCAAAAGTGCACAAATTATTTAACATAAGCTGCTGCCACTAGAAAAAGTACATTGCTTTATGCAGTGCAGATTGATGCAACTGTTGATAGTAGTTAGTAAGTGAGTGTTTGCTTTAAGGCTTGTGCTAATGCGAAGTCCTTGCACTGCTCTGGCCCTGGCATTGAGCTTTTATGTTTTCAAGTCTTTCTGGAGAAACATGTTTCACATGATGCTGTTGAGTTTGGGATCACAGGTTTTTGCAATTGGTGCAACAACAAATCTTAGTTAAAAAATGTCTTTGACCTCAGTGCTGCCGGTTCATTCTGGTGGATCCTGGTGGCCAGGACCCACCAAACACCTACCTGACAGGCCACAGCGTGAGTGAAGAAAGAATCATAAGTTTCCAAGATCAGTGTCAAAAATACACCTACCTGACAGGCCACAGCATGAGTGAAGAAAGAATCATAAGTTTCCAAGATCAGTGTCTCGAGTTTCTGGCCCAAAGTTCTGCACAGCAAACAGCAAAACAGCAAAAACTGCTAACAATCACACGCACTGACTCTCACACCAGGACCCCAGCCCTCACAGTTCAAATCCAGCACTGAGGTCACAAACGTATGCGCCACTTAGGTCATCCGTGTTGGAAATCTTTGAGGCCTGAAGTCAACAACATTATGAACCACTTGGAAGTAACCAGTTTAACCAGTCATATCTTGTGAACTATGTGAATCACTTCTAACCATGAACCGTCAGGGCCAGCAGAGCAAGGACATCAGATCAGCATTAACCTTAAAGCCAACAGTTTGCTTCTCAACGTTTGAGCAGTAAAGAAGTGGCCTTTCATTCTGAGTTTCTCAAATCTATTCTATGTTTTTATTGCAGTCTTGGTAAGTCTTAGTATTCAACTTGTAAATAAGGGCTGCACACCCTACTTATGTTAATTCTTCTTCTATTGTAACAAAAAATGTGGTTTTCATGTTCACCCATGCTCTTGCCTGTCAGGGAGGTGTTTGGTGGCTCCTGGCCACGAGGACCCGCTGCAAGAAACTAAGGTTGGAGTGGGTCCTGGCCACCAAAACCTACTCACACACTAAGGCCCAGGCAGGAAAAAACTAAGTAAGACAAGGCGCCCGCTGAATAAGTGGGATGCGCTGCACAAGCGCCGCCTCTTTTTTGGGGGGGATGGGTGAACGTGATCGCGCATGAGCTTTCCATGGCCCTGCACTCAAAAGGTTTGAGTGGCGTTGGTGTGCAGTGTGCTTTTTTCTTTACTAGATGACCTCCTCTTAGGATTGCAGTGGCTTTGGCTTCTGGTAGCTACAGGCTTCCATGCGTATGTCTAAAATACAAGCATGTAAACTAAGGCCACTAAGGTCACAGCATACTAAGGTCACGGCGTCACTAAGGCCACGACGTCACTAAGGTCATCACACCAAGTGTGAACAACCACTCAGCAGGGACCAAGTCTTCACCAGAACAACATGTAACAGTGCTGTTGCTTCACATGCTCCAGCCTGGTCTCAGGTGCCAATAGGTTCAAGAGAGGTCCAAACCCCAGGGGCCAAGTCTTCCACAGAACCAAAACCACCAGTGTGTAACAATGCTGTTGCTTCACATGCTCCATTCTTCAAAAGCAGTGGCAGCAGCTCAATGTTTTTTCTCATCGCTTATTCTTCTTCTTTCTCATCGCTTCTTCTTCGGGGGAGGCACCTGAGTTTCCACACTACCGAAGAGGTCAACATCAGTGTCAACATCATATCATACCAAATAAGGTGAGGACACAGGATTGTGACGAGGTCGATGAGCTTGATGAGGTGGATGAACTGCTGGATGGTGCACACTTAGCTGAAGCTTGCTTGGATGAACTGCTCGATGGGGCAGAAGCTGCCTTTGCCTGCTTTAAACCATCATATCACAACAACAAAAAACTCACCAGAGTATGATGCTTCAACATGCCTGAGCTACCATCTGCCTCTTAAAGTTCTCAAGGACCTCCCCCCGGTAGTTGGCGAAACCAATAGCAGCTCTTTTCCTGAGCATTGTGACTGTTTGGAGCAGCTTGTATAAGCAAGCATGGTGCACTTTCAACATGCATTGGAGCCAAGAGGCTGCTTCTCCTGCTCATTTTTCCTCAACTTTAAATCATTCTGTTTAAGCAAAACGGCACTGTGAATTTCACACAAGCTCCATGTCTTCCCAGCATCTCTCTCTCTCTCTCTCAAAGCGTTCACTGCGATCCTTCCAGCCGCGGTTCCTACGTAACAAATGTTATGAACTCTTTGAACCTTTCCTACCACCATTGGTTCCTGATTAGCCAAAACTCAAAAACACTTGCTAATGCAAGACTTGTCATTATGAATTGCATCGTTGGCAGCCCAGGGTCCAACACCCAAGCTGTGCCTTGTCAGTTTCCAGCTGCTGGTTCCTCACTTGGCTTATACACGCACACACACACACACACACCTGAACAGTTGTACTTAACAGTTGTATTTGGAGGGTCCTGGAGTCCAGGACCCTCCTCTGTTTCACAAATTGGGCATGTGTAACATATTCTGCTATGCATATTGCTTCATTCCTAACACTGGTGTTTAGACGCTAGTTCTGAAACTGTGCCTTTCTGAGACTGCCTTAAAAGAAGAGTCTTTTCTTGAAGGCCCTCTGCATGCTTGCGCCGACCACTTGTTCCTAAGAGCAGCAAAGCAAACACATCACAACAAGCACACAGGACAATAAAACAAATATACATCAAACAAGTAACTAGTTCAATGGCAAATGTTCAGCTTGCAGTTGCAGCACAGGTTCCACGTCTCAAGCTGACACTTCTGACCCAGAAGCTGCTCCTTCCTGATGTGTTCAAAGTTATTTTCACCGTTGTTGAACAAGCGATTGCCAGGACACACCTCATTTGAAGGTCTTGATTCTGTATGCTCAATGTCTTTGTCCTTAGCAAGGCTTTATTCAGCAACAGCAGTACATGCAGTTGAGACCACACAACAAGCAGGTGAAGCAAAACATTTGGTTCCAAGAGTCTTTTCTTCAGCATCGCTGTTTTTCTATCAAGCCAACCTCCTTTTGATCTGTCTCTTCGTTTCTGCCTTCTCATGTCCCATGGCCACCGCAAGGGCAAGTTGGTTGAATTGAAGTTGTTGCTACATGGCCACTAGCTAAACACATGATCTCATTGCCCATGGCTATATCTCTAATGCTTGTTTGTATCCACACAAGGAGCCACAATGAACCAGGGACATGTTTGCTTCATGTGCTGATTTTATGCTGCACACCTTGAGGTCAACAAGTGAACAGTTAAGACAGTCAAGTGCATGATCCATGCATGCAACTGCAACGGTTGTTTTCATTCACTGACGATTTGGCTGTTCAACTCGTGGTACCAAACTTGGAGACAAGCTCACCTGGGCCCAGTGCAGGACAGCAGACTCAGTTGGTGCTGTGTTTAGTGTTTCTGAAAATTTGGTTACGCGCGCAATTCTTTGCTTATTTAATTCTTGAGCTGCAGTTGTTTGCTCGAGGGTTTTGACTTTCATTAACCAAAACATCAAGAAACCAAAAACAAACACACACAATAGACACCAGTGATTTGGTTAAGTGTTTTATGTTTTTTGAGGTGCTTCAATGGCGATCTACTGCTACATGTACAGCACATGAATGTACAACCAAAACTTTTGCAGCAAGCCCAAAGGTTCCAAGAGCCCACCAGGTACTTGAATGATGTTACGTGACACAAACTTGCCACCCCAAAGCCACGGCCTAGCCTCTACTTAGCACCATTCAGCAAAGCTATTGACATTTTACCTGGATCCTTTGGCAAATCATCTAGCAGGCAGCAAATTTCTTTCCAGCAAGCCCAGCGGGTCCAAAAGCCAGCGCGCAAATTTGCCACCCAAAGGCACCTGTCGCATATATCCAAAAACTGTTTGTCAGTCCACCGGTCACCTGTTTGCGTTTCAACAAGGGCCAAGATGAAGTCGGCGCCATCGTGAACAAGTTGGGGTTGCCAATGGATCCAGCAGAGCTCTTCGCCCCACGTTCTTTTCAAGATGGGGAGACTGGGACCTCAACCATTCCACTGGAGCTTGCAAGCTTCATCTTTGTGGTCTGGTGAATCAGAAGCGTGGAAGGTGGCTTCAATTTGCAAAAGCATCATCTACAAAGGCATGGACCTCAGAATTCTTTCCTCCATGTTTGCATGCCATTGGGTTGATTTGCCTTCCCATTCCAACCAAATGCTTTTGAGCACGCAAATTCTTTTGGGTAGTTTTTAAACGACCTTGGGTTCCGTTCTAACATGATGTTATTTGGCTTCAGCCACAGTCATGCTAACTTTTTGGTGTCTAAACAATTCTTTTGCTGTTAGTTGTCCAGAACTCTTCACAGTAGCACTCATAGTACTGCTCCTCTTGTCAGGCATGATGAATCCCTATGATGGTTGAAAGTGTTGTTGATATGTTGTTTTCAAGAACTTGTCAAGACTGTTTCTTTGTTGAGGCTATGACTCCTGTGAGATCTTGGTGGCCCGAGACTCTGTTCTTCAAGAAGACAGCTTGAGGTTCAGTGATGGCCAGAAGCGTGGTTTGGCATGTCGCTTGGCGATTCTTTGCTGCATTATTATAGCGTTTTTTTACCATTACAAAACAAAAGTCAACCGTTCGGCAAAACAAAAGTCAACCGTTCGGCAAAACAAAAGTCAACCGTTCGGCAAAACAAAAGTCAACCGTTCGGCAACTGAGAGTTGCCAAACAATCCTAATTTTTACCTTACTTAACTTAGTCTATCGAAATTCTCATGTTTTCCCAGCCGCTCGGCAAAACAAAAGTCAACCGTTCGGCAAAACAAAAGTCAACCGCTTGCAAACGGGTTGGCTTCACAAACGCACATGTTGCTCTCTGTTTGCTACTACCAGTTGCATTGAAACAACCATGATGAAAGGAATCCTGCGTGGAATAGTTTCTGGATGTTGGTGGGCACTTCCTAAACTAATTGCAGATCTTTGGATCTTTTGGAAGGGAATCTATTCATGTATTGTTCCAAGTCCGATCAAACCCGGACAAGCGAAGCATCGAGGGGTGTTGCAGGGCCTAGTGGTGAGAGAGCTCATCTACAGTCAGATCTAATCACCTGCACCAAATAAGTGAACAGGTACTGGTTCAAACATCAAACCCTTTTTCTTCCATGCACCTTCCTCCGCAACTGGTGGCCCGCGCGTGAAAACTCACGCGCGCGCGCGCCTTCTCCGCAACTGGTGCAAGGCTGCTCCACTTGCAGGGGGATGCTGCCAGAGGCGGCGGTGCAACTGGCGTTGCGCAGCGCCTCGTCATACCTCGGCCCGGTGCAGCCGGTGTCGCCGGACCTCGCACGGTCGGTGCTCGATCGGTGAGACTGGCCGAGTGGACTGAGACTGCAAAGGAGCTCCACCTGTGCTTGTCTTTGTGGGGTGTCCACAAAGCACTTCAAAAAAAGAGGAACTCCCCCAAGGACTTGATAAATATACTTGCAACTTCCGACTGCTTGTTATCGATCCGCGGCGTGAAAACATCTTTTGGAGTCGCAGCCTCATATTTGAGTCTGCAGATGTTTCTCTAGTTTTCTGATGTTTTCTGATATTCCACCGGATTTTATACACAAGCTAAGAATGTTTATTGGTGAGCCACAGTGTTTGTGTGTTTTCCAAACGTGTTTCTATTCTTGTTTAAGCAAATCTTTATTTTCGGAGACCTCAATAAAGGTAACCCTTGAACTACCGACCAAACAAAAGCCACCCACGAGGTGATGTGTCGGTATGGTGCCCAACAGGATCCGAACTCAAGTTTTGGAGGTGTGATCCACTTGACTCAATCACATGAACATCGTATCTTTTTGGGCAGTGCCTCGCCAGGCGAGGGGATAGACTGGCCAACACCATGCCCAAACGCTCCATGCCAGGACCCTCCTTAGTCCTTAGACTTAGAGGCTGAGGGTTGGCCAACAACCACGTCTTGGAAGGTCCTGCTTTTGGTTTGGAGTGAGGAAACCAATCTGTTCAAAAGAATGACTGCAGGTGATCCCCCGTTTCGGGGTGTCTAATAGCCCCTTTGAGGTTTAAGGGGCGTCCATTCAGCGAAACCTTGGGCCCTGGCAGGTGCTCCACTTCTCTTCCAGGGTATGTTCTTGGAGTCTCAAAGTAGACTGTCCAGTGTTAATTCGGAATCTTAGTGCATAGCGGCCACAGACAACCGTCATCGGCGAACGCAAGAGGAAAGAGTCTCAAAGTACGTGGTACCTGGACCATCCAACATCTGGGTGTCCTGTGAGCGTCCCAAGACACCAAAACCGTCACACTCGACCCGTCCTGCGTCCGAACGACGCGTCGGGTCGCAGTTTGGGGAGGTGATCCAGTCGTCTCGAACCCCGAAGCTATCCCTAGAAGCTGATTGACCCCTGTTTTGGAGCCAAGTCTTCAAGTCACCTGGTCCAACTTCCTATTTTAAAACAGAGGTCATGTCTGGGTTCGTCTGTCTATGGGATCCGGCCCGGATACATGGACTTCGGCAGCCACCAATTGGGCCCTGGACTCCGCTGGGCCACGCACTGCATCAACGCCGTGCCTGACTCCCGGCCGAGAGCTGAAGAAACGACGTGCCATTCATTCCCTAGGGATCGATGGTCGACCTTGATGGCTCTGTGATATAGTCTGTAGACCCCCAACGACTTGTAGACCACTTGTATACCTTAGGGATCCAGTCGTACCGAACCTCAGAAGGCACGACCGGACCCTCCACAGCCACCCCAGTCCCACCGTACCTGAGAAGGTACTTGAATCCCTAGGGGTTGGTGTTTCCTGCCTACCGATTTGTTCAGTCCAAAGAGGTGATTTTTTCCACTGATTTGGAGAGGAGGTCCAGAGGTGGGATCCAGAAATCATTCTATAGAGGTACCTGTGTTACCAGTTGTTTGTTTTGGAATTACCAGTAATCCAGTTTGTTTCATGTTCTTTCTCTCAGTACATGGATTTGATTGGATTTGTTGTAGGTAATCCTCTCCCAACCTAAGAGAAGGTATTGAGCGATGCGCAAAGTTTGCATTTCAAGTCTTACAATCTTATCAGTTGTTGTGGCTGGTACCTGAGTTGGCGTCATAGGCACAGTGCCATCAGTCTTTTCCCCAAGGGAGGACAGCTCATTTGGAGCAGCCACCAAAGCCACAAGGGATAAGTTCTTCTCCTGATCTTTGGTCGTGCATGAGCGCCCGGTACACACGACCATGATAGAAGTCCAATTCAAGGATATTTGAGCAGTTACAAAAGTAACAATTTTCCCAGGTACTTTGAGACTCTAGTGTTCCAATACCTCAACACTTCATGGAACATCATATACCAGCATTGACCCCCGAAAACAGCCCGATGTAAATTGTTTGGGATAAATAGTTGTTTTTCAGTTTGTTGTTTTCATGCTCTTTTTCTTGGTGGGCGGTTTCGTTCAACAAGCCTGGTATAGCTACGCATAGCTCTCAGGGAGCCTTTGGGTGCGCCAGGTGGGTTCTGTATTTGAAGACCCCACTACGTCACTAGCGTAATATATTGCAGGTTGAGCTTCACCAACACCTGGCAGTTGGTTCGTGTCCAGAGTCGCCTCAGAAAAGGGCGGATGTGACTGGGATGTGCGGTTTTGGACACCCTTGGAGACCCGGGCACCGGGTACGGCCACGGCCGCCCGCCTGCTGGCGCGTGCTCCACACATTCCGCAGCTGCTAAAGCAAGATCAGCGAGATCTGGTCGATTCAAGGGCCCCGGAGCGACCGCAACTGCACTCCCTGGACTACTACACGGCTGTGGAACGGCCTGGCCCCGAAGGGAAAAACACCTGTTGCATCCATATTCCAAATGTTTCAACAGGGGGGTGAACTCCACTTCCACGTTCTTCGAGGAAGTCTCTACCACGTGTTTTCTTCGGTCCCCAAGACCAAGATCGTTCGTGGTCGGGGTGGCGCCCCGACCGGCTCCCTTTCGTTTTGCGGGTTTGGGGAGGTCGAAAACGACCTACCATTTAGGCCGGCCCTGGGCCTCATACGGACCCCATACGGATGTGTCACATCGACCTTGGCCGAGACAGCCGTCGGTGTGGCTGCTTTTTTATCCGCCCAGGTGTGGCTGATGTAGGGAGTCGCTATATATATATATATCGCCTCTGAACAAACCGTGGATGTGTCAGGTTATGTCAGGTTCAGATGTGGAACACATGGGAAAACTCATCGATATATATAACGCACTCATCTACACCTGGCGAACGCAGGGTGGCGAGTTGAGGCGAGCGGCACGAACACATGGAGGCGGTCCGTGTGGCGTACCAAGGCTCGCGAAGCCTAGATAGAAGACTTCAGGTCGATGGTCGACCTTGATGGCTCTGTGATATAGTCTGTAGACCCCCAACGACTTGTAGACCACTTGTATACCCTAGGGATCCAGTGGTACCTTCTCAGAATGTGTTTGGAGTGGCTGTGGAGGGTCCGGTCGTGCCTTCTGAGGTTCGGTACGACTGGATCCCTAGGGATAGTCAGAGACCCTGCAAAAAAGTCCAAGTTGCACCATCTCAGGAGCTACGTACGTTGGACCATCGACCGCCACCGTTGGACGAACTCTGTCCCCAAGCACTCTAACGTCTGTCAGAGACCCTTCGCACCTCGTTGGATGTCTATCCGCTCCGCACGCGCCAGCTGCGCGGCAGCTGCGCAGCTCGCCATGCGAAGAAGAGGCTGAAGAGAAACTCCATCGCAGGAGTTCACCATCCCTTCTGTTTCTTTCACATCTAACCTTCTGCCACCCGACACCTACCAGGACCCGAACACCTGCCAGGCTGTCTGCAGCAGATCAGCCCAACACTCGGAGATCTGCCACCGAAAGTCAGAGCTCTGGGAGGTTTCGGGTCCTGGAGTGTTTTGCAGAGTCCGTGGATGGATGACAACGGGCTAGCCGCGGCTAGCCATCCTCCCAAAGACTAGTCCCCAATGATGAGTTTCTTCTGATTCATATCCAGGAGGCAAACAATAATCCATAATAATCCATTCAGTGGGACTGGGACGCTTACAACTTCTTTCCAACTCGTCTCAAACTTGAAGGCGTGGCGAAGTATCCTCAGTGACAAAAACCGTTTTGGAACCAACTCCCACCTTCGCTGCTTCCCGTTTGGTCTCCATGTACCTTCGTTTCGAGTGTGGGGCCCGGGTTGATCACTCCCAGATCGATGCCGCCCCGGGCCCCCCACGTCGCTGCCGAGGGCGGAGACCTCGGCAGCAGGGCCTCCGTACCGAACCTGAGAAGATACGATTGGATCCCTGTAGGGAATGGGTACAAAGATCATACAAGTATACAAATTGAAATACCAGGTCTTCTTAGAACATCTTAGAAGATGTTTTGACAGATTCCTGGAGTCTCAAAGTACGGAAAATAGGTACAAGATGGTTCCAGACATGACCTCAACCGCTCGATTGGTCCAAATCACGTGCAACTTCCCCCGCGGCCCCCGCGTCATAACCTGCAAGCACAGTCGAACCTGTCCCAAATGCATGTGGAAACCCTTCTGACTGCCTCGCTCCTTCAAACTGCCCACCAACCAACTTGACCTCTCATCTCGCCCCCGCCTGTGCGTAAAACAACAACAACAACAACAACAACAACAAGGTACAACAAGGGTACAACAACAAGGTACAACAAGGGTACAACAACAAGGTACAACAACAACACCAGCAGCAGCAGCAGCAGCAACAAAAAAAACAACAAGCATCTGGCCCCCAATTCAACGGCATCATACCGCATCACAGCATTATATATCGTACCCAGATGAGTCGGGACCTGTTTGTTCGGAACCCTCAGCTTTTGAAGTCCTCAGGCTCCATGCGGCATGCGCGCATTTTGGTCATTAAAAACACCTAACTCAAGGAGGTGGAACAAAAACGAGTCTTTGGACAGAACAGCCATACATATAGCCAGGGCCTTCTGAGGGTCCTGTCTTGGTCCCCCGCTTTTGAACCAAAAACCCACCAAGCAACGGGCGATCTGCCTTCGGCTCCGGGCGCAAAGCAGCGAGAATGGTCCCGGGTCGTCGGAGAACCACCATGCTTTGGACCTCGTCCGGGCCATGGTGAGAAGCCCGGTGTTGTGGCGTTTGGTTCACGGAACCAAAGCCTGAGGTGTCGGTTCTTTGCTGTAAAATGGCCTGTAGAGCCTAGAGTATGAGTGCATATGACTGTGTGTTCCTAGAACCTGAATGATATCTATTTTGGACCACCAACCAGTGGTGCGACCAGCCAAAATATCTCAATATAAGGTCTTTTCCGGTCAAAACAGGGGTCATGTCTGGGTTCAAGGTTGCCATATTATGTTGCGTTGCATCATCATTGTTTCTGCAACGTATCTACAAGTCGGACTGAAGGGGGTGTGAGCAGCCTACATCTTGAGGCCTAGGCAAAGTCGCAGGCTCAGACGCCCGTTCGAGAGGCCATTTTGGTCTTTCATACCCAGACCGGAATGATTACATACATTTACGTACCCTATTCATGACCCCAATGTAGGTAACTATACATGGATGGTCTGGGATAGCAAACACCCTCGCATTTCTGCGTGCAGGGCCAGGCATTTTGAATAGAAAACCTTAACAAAACCTTAACAGCCTTAAAATGAGGGAGAGGGGCAGCAAGGAATGCATGTTTTTGAAACCCAAGTCCTGAACACGGGAAGCAAGGTCTATGATATATGCCGCATGCCAATAAAACATCTGCCAACCACTGGGTCCCTGGGTTCCTTTCTACTCCGAAGCTGACCAAGCGCCAACCCTGGAACCCCATCTTTTGATCGAAGGGTGACAGACAAGTTTGTCATTCCATCCTGACTTCCGAGCCCTTTCCCTAGAAAACCCTGGAAAATAAAGGTTAACCGAACAAACTCCACCTGTTGGATTTTTGCGAGGACCCCCCCCAAAAAAAAAAAGATAAAGAAAGCCCTGACGATCCATGACCATGCATAGGTCACAAATAGAAATGATCCCAGGATATGCATACGTTTCTATTGATCGTGTTATTTGAAGACGTTGTCGAATCACAGATTGGGGTACCTGAAATGTATATACAATTCCAGTATCATTGTTGGAGGATAAGACCATGAAATCCCAAGAACCAAGCATACCAGGGCGTGACGAACCGTGACAGACCGTGACAGACCGTGATTGGTCTATTTTGTCCCTTTAAAAATGAGGTCATTGTCGGACTCCAGCGTGACAACCCGTGACGAATTTGAATTTGGGATCGTTGGTTTTGTGTTTTTTGGGTTCTGTGGTTTTGTGGTTTTTGGGTTCTGGATGGTTCTGGTATGATCTCGTTTTTTAGGTCGGACCTCACAGGGTGAGGTCGGAGAGCCCCAGAAGACACAACCCCAAATGTTAGCATATAGAGCTAACTTTCGATCCTCAGGGAAGGTTAATGGTTATCAACTGACAGTGTTTGGGGTATCTGAGATTCACGTGCACGCACCAGCCAAACTAAAGCCTTGAGGTTCCTCTGCGTCGACGCCCCGTAATACGCTCCGCTGCGACTCAAGCGGCGGCACATTGGCAGGCCGTGGATTCTCCTGGGGAGCGAAAGATCAAGCTTTGCAACTCGGAACACCCCAGCAAATCCAGGTACCCACTGTACAGTCACCAATGGTTCTGAAGGAACACCATAGACCTAGAGAAACCCAGGTTCCTTGCAGAGTGAAGACCGGGATCCACCAAGGGTTGATCCGGGTGGGTGTCCTTGCGGTTTCAGACCACACAAAGTATGACCACGGATAGACGGTCGGGGATGGGAAAATTGGAGATATGGGGTCTTTTCCTAGATTGTGGATTGCACCAAAAATGGTTGCGCAGCACATTTCCATACATTTCCATTGTTGACTTGGTCCACCGCCACGACCACCACCACCACGACGCAGTCGATCTGTGTGCCCATCGCTCCATCGCTCGCTCCGCCTGCGCCTGCTGCTTGGAACCACTGCGCCCAGACCTCGTTTTCGAACTTCATAGCGACTTCGGATGCGACTTAGGGTTGCGACTGGGGAGATTTCAGGGTCTGGTGGGGAAGTCAATGCCCCTGGGCAAAAGAAAGGCTTTTTCAGGTGATCCACATTGATCCACGTGACTTCGGGGTTTTTGAAAGATCTAAAGGTCGCTATGTGTGGAAAGACATAGAAGTGTTCCACTTAGGTGCTTGAGCTCGAGCAGCTCGATCAGTCCGTCAGTCAGGAGCAACTCCGAAGAACTCTTGACGAAACTGCCCAAGAAACGACGTCTCCGGTCACTCGTACCAGTTGCGAGATCGGTCAGGTTCTCTGGAGCAAAGGACACAGCTTTGGTTGAGATTTGTCACACCTACCGTGGCACCGTGGCACCTACACGAAAGTAAAACCTTCCAATGCACTAAACCTTCCAATGGACCTGTTCTTTTTGGTTTCGGTCATGTCCCATTTTCCAAGGTGCAAAGTGCAAACGACTTTGAGTCATCGATGGATCGCGAACCAAGTCGTGCCCATCTGGTGTTGCAAACGTCAGAGTAGCCCAACGACCGGCGGTCAACCGCCGATCCCCAGCGCCGCTTTTCTCCCCCAACACCCATTTGGACTATATATCCCAGTTGAAGAACTCTATACCAGGACCTTCCAAGAGGTGTCTATAAATAGCACTTTAGAGGTTAAGGTGTCTCCAAAACCACCATATTGGAAGGTCCCTGCCGCCCTGGGCGGCTTCAGCCGCTCAGGTCAAACCGCCAAGTCGCGCGGCATCGCCTCAGTGGGCCACACCGTGGGCGGTTCAAAGACGGCCGCTTTCGACCACGTTGAAGAATCATGGGATTTTGGTTTTCAGTAGACTTCAGTGAGAACCTGATCACCCCAAATTGTGACCCCACATGTTGAAAAGCTCAAAGTCGTCATCCTCTCAAAAGTTGGGTGTTTAATCATACAAAACTTAGACTTGTGACTTGTGTTTGTAGATTGGAAAACTGACACTGACACCCAAGAAAACTATAGACCAAACAACTTGAGCACCGATTTCTTTTAACGTACGTTTATGTACCAGTACGTTTTAGTTTTCCTCCGCACAACTTTGGCTAATGAGAGACATATATAAATTTGATCTCTATATATATATACTGTTATATATAAATATCATGGCCTATAATTGATCTATATATATATATATACGAGTTTCATTAGGTCATATAGTGGCTCTTGTTTTGAATTTATGCATGTCTCTGGACCGGAACAGTGTTGCCGTTTCTTTACACCGCGTCCTCCCCTAGTCTTTTTGCCCCATGTGTGTGTGCCTCGCCTATCTTTGGGCTTCTGTGGCATACAACCTGCACCAACCCCAGCAACAATCATCTTCTCCCCATGAACCACCCGGCAATGATATTTGGCACTTTAGGACTAAGACTTGTCTTCAGAGGCCATTCAGCAAGAGATGCTGAACAGTAAACCGAGCAAACCACATCGGCAGTTATACACATACCATCCCAGCTTGCTGGCACAGTTGGGTAGCTAGCTGCCCTTTGATTGTCAGCTAGGAAAATGGCCGGGCATGCACCAAAGGTCACGGTTGTATTTGGAAACTAAACGGTTGTATTCGGAAACTGGAACGGTTGTATCCGGAAACGTGATGTTTTTATTTATATTTTTTTTTTTTCGGAAACTGGACGGTTGTATTCAGAAACTAATTATGTTCGGAAACTACGAAGAGCAAAACCAACACTATATTCAC